ACTGGTCAGGCTGGTTGGTTAACTATTCATAATATTCTTTCACATCTAAAGAGCCTTGTAGATGTCCTGCTGTTGGTCTAGAGATCCTTATGCATGGGGTGGTACTAGGTAGACATGAAGCTGCAGAAGAAAAGTATTTTCTCCTTGGAGACTCCCTGGAAGTCAGTGCAAACAAGACTTAAGTGTTCAACTTACCATGGTGACTGAAGTTTACTATCAGTGTGAACTTTCAACTCCCAAAGTCCTTGTTCAGTCAGAAGTCTGAGAGTGATGTATGCAGCAAGGTTTACCTGGATCTAGAGTATCTTTTCAAAGGGACTGTATTGATCTCCTTTCTGATACTGATAAAATGGAATGAAAACACCTTGAGGAGAAAAGGGATTATTTGGCTTATACTTCCAGTTAACAGTGTATCAGCCAGGGCAGAAGCTCAGGGACCCTGGAGGCGTGAACTAAAACAGAGGCCATGAAGGAATGTTGCTTATTTGTTTCCAGGCTACCTTTCTTATACCTCCAAGGACCACCTGCCTAGGAATGTCACCACCCACAGTGCAGTAGGCCTTCCCACATCAACCAATAATTAAATAAAACAGCACATAGGGATACCCATAGTCTATCTGGTGGAGGCATTTCCTCAGTTGAGTTTCCTTTCTTCCAAGTGACTCTAGTTTGTGTCAAGTTGACAAAAACCAGCCATTAAGGGATTGATTCTCAGTGGAGTCTTGTGCTTGTGAGATAATTAAACTTGATTTTGGTGGTGTTTATATGAATCTGTACATGAGATAAAATTGTATAGAGCTGTATGTACACATGGATATATAATTGTAGTTATGATGAAATGTTAATGAGCTTGATACTCTGTATTAGTACTGATGTACTGTAGCTACGAAGGTGCTCACATTTGGGGGAACTAGATGATGGGTGCTTGAGAATCTTACTATTTTGTCACAAATTCCTGTGAAAGTATGATAATTTCAATATAAATGTTTTATGTGAAGGCAGAAGAAGCTCAAAATATTAGAACAGTTAATCTCCAACAATACATTATGACTGGCTTTAAACTACAAGATCTCATACAGAAATAGTAAGGTCAACAGTATTCTTGGAGAGAAGGGTGAAGCAGGTTACCTAGTTGCTACAGAGGCTGAGGTCCACAGTCACTACAACAAGAGAATGCTCTCTTGACATCAAAGTCAGTCTCCAGCCCTTTTCTTGAAAACCAGGTGAGCAAGCAGTTGAGTTGTGGTAGATCGTAGCTATAATTCTGGAAGTTCAGAAAACACTGACTTAGAAAATTGCCATTCTTTACCCACGTTAACCTTAGCCAATGTCACTAACTGCCACCTACCTCTGTCATCTAGAAATATGTATTGGATATCTAACGTGCATCAGCACTCATGCTTTTGGATGCTTGAAATGTGTTCAGGAACAAAATAAAGGACTCTGTCATATGGAGGGGTTTATGTCTAGTATGGGAAATAGGCAGAAGGAGAAAAGAAACAGTCTGTGTGAATTATATTTCATACCAGAAGATGATGACTCTTACAGTGAGAAGTCATGGGAACAAGGAGGGACGCCAAGAACTCAGGAGATGTCATTGTGTGGAACAGGAGAGACTCTTGCTTGTATCTCTGAGATCTAAAGGATATGCATGAGATCAGTCCTCTGTCTTGAGTTTTCTTCTCTTGATGCTCCTTTTGTCACATTACCCCAGCATTTCTTTCTGCGTCCTCATCACTGTCTTCTTCCGTCCGCCCTTTAGCTTCTCCTTTTGCTCGTGTCTCTCCATCAGTGCCATTCTCTCTCCGTTGTGGCTCTACCACTTTCTAACCATCTCTTTGGTTCTTCTGACTTTCTCCCCTAACTATAGCTATTTCTGCCTCTCTCATTCTTTCTAGACACTTATCATCATCATTATGCAGCTTGCTGGTGGGTGAAGTTTGTATAATTAAAAGTGCCTGGGATTCTAGTGTTCACATGCTTTTTGCATGATAAGTGTATCCTGTTCTATGCAGAATAACTTTAATTTTGTTGACTGTCATCTTGGAGATCTAAATCCCCAATAGAGCACCCCAATATTTCTGAAACATAGACAGATAACTCATAGGAGTGTCCATAGTACAGCACTATTCATTAAAACTAAAACTACAAACAGCACAAATAATCAAAACCAGTTGAGTGGCTTAATATTTGAAAAGTAGGACAGTGCATAACAGGAGAGCCAGTGAATGGCTGCTGATACAGAGATAGGTGAATCCTCAGGACTCTAACAATCAAGTAAGGCAACACAAAAGATAAGAGGAAGATGAAATAGTAGTTATAATTATTGCAGCTCAAATGAAACAGGTTTTAGCAGGTATGGTGATATATATCCATAATCCCAGCACTCAAGAGACTGAGATGGGAGAATCTCTAATTCAAGAATAGCCCTGGCTACAAAGCCCAGGTCTCAAAACAACAATGAAACAGGTTTTAGAAATTAAGACAACTGTCCCTCTAGTGGCAATGGCTAGGAGATAGTATGGGAAGGCTTCTGGGAGCAGGGTATGCTTGTACGTTAATATAGGTATAAACTAACTGGGGTGTACTCGTTCCGAGAAATCTCTCCAAGCAGTATATTATCATTTGTACT